TCTTCAAGGTGGATTTTCGGAATCAGCGCCTCGAATTACCGCAGGTAAGCGAAAATACTTCAAGCCGAGAATCTGCCGAGCCGCTGCCTTTAATCTACACATCTTTTGGTGATCTGGCTTATAAGTGAGTACGTTTCTTTTCACAGCTCTCATAATTTCCCCATGCATATTCCCCTTTTGAAGAGTCCAACTTTGGAACTAAGCAATGTTGCTTCCAGCGGAGATGCAAGTGAACTGTAGATGCGCAATTAAGAATGAAGAGAGATACCTGGACTACTGGTAAACAGGAAACGTTGACAAAGAAATAGGATTTCGCTTTTTTTTTATCAACGACGGCAGCCTTGACCTTGCAGCCTATAGCAAGACATCTATCCAGCATTTTTTTGCAAATCCAGTGCAAAGCCATGCTACGTAAATTTGCTTTCTTGTTAGCATCATTTGTTGATATAAACATCGCGCTGTTTGGAATTTCAAATCGTCAAGGAATTGAGCATTGTTTGGCTCGAGTGGATTACTAATTTGAATGGACTGCACTGACTAAGAAAGTTCACATTTTGACCAGACAAAATAACCATAATGTTTTGTCAAAAACCTCTAAGCAACTAAGGGTATATAAAGCATGCAACGAGAGTTCTAGCATTTTGACAATGCAAGAATTCAGACTAATTTCTGTATTCCTTACCGTTGTGCTTGCTCGTAAGTCCCTAAAAGATTTTCTTTCGGGCTTCTTTATTTCCAAAAGTACTTCACACGTATTATTCCGTAGATGCAAAAGCTATCGAATCTCATTTAGAGGTGATAAATGGTAATATGCGCGTAAAGCGCGATATTTGGTTGGTTGACAAGGAATATAACAGGCATCGCGAACAATGGTGTAAGTTTCTTGATTCTTCAAAGTCAGTTTTCTTTCATTTTTCCTCAGCATTTCCATTCCGTACTCGGTGAAACAATAACAAAGCATAAGCCATAACAAGAAGAAGCATGGCTACAAACAATTATTAAGAAAAATCAAAAGAAAATAACAGATACAACAGTTTTAGATATTTACCAATTCTAAAATCCATCAAGTTACGTTTATGAACAACTCGTGTCAGCCAGGAAGGTGATTCTAGTGACTAGACTTCCTAGAATCTTCAGGGTGTTGAGCAAGCCAAACTAAGGTTCTCGCTTTGCTGTTGTCACTAGTTTGTAACAAAATTTTTGTGAAGTAGATTCCTGAAAGGATGCACCATACAACTCTTGGAGCTAGCCAAGTTTGCGAAGATTGGACAACTGATGGAAAGATTTTCAAACAATAGATTCTTAATTCCTAAGATGCGATAAGGATGCGACTATAACCTTATAAGGGATTTCTAGCTGATGACGTTCATTCTAACGAAATACATATTGATAGAGACTCCTTGCACAGCTCTTCACAAACTTGACTTACTCACTAACATTAAGCCAGATTCATTGATTCAAAAGAGGTTTCTTTTACAGTAAACTTGAGTGGGGCAGGTTATGTAATACGATGTTATCCACTACCTTTCGAATGTCGTTTTAGGGAGCTCAAAAGAAAATATAAATTGGTATTCAAAGCTTCATTGCTCAGCGCATAAAATCAGTTGACACAAAACTATGCAATACCTATTATAGACAAGTACGACTGCAGAAGGGTTTCTTTCTACAAAAAGTGCAATGGCTTGCAAAGTGGAGATTTCAATGGATACAACGCAAGTTTCCAGCTTTTCGAATGTATAGTTTAGTGACTTACATAGTTTGACAAAATCCACTTCAGTGCTTCCAACCGGAAGTTGTCAATCTTCACAATTACCGTCGAACAGATGGATGGCATAAACTTCTCCGTTGCAAATCTACTGACCCTGGAGACTATGTTTGATGTGGTAGTTGACAGTTTGCTTTGTCAAAATTGAGTTTATCCAGGTTGTGCTGGCTGGAAACAAGTATGGCAATCCTATAGCCATCGGTCAAGGATCAGTCAGTCAGGTAAATTCGAAAAATGGTGCCAACTCGCTTTGTTTCAGAAAGTAATCTTTTTAGGTGATTCGATGTAATAACAAAGGGAAATGGGTTGCACAAGTGGGCCCTGGAAAGTGGATAAGAGTTAAGGATGCCTTCTGTTATCTGAAACCCGAGTTCGATTTTTGAAAAATTATGCACACATTCCAATGAAACGTTTTTTATCAAGAAAATAAATATTCGAATGATGGGCCATATCCA